TGACCGATGTCCAATCCGGTCTCAATTTGTATTCATTTAATGATGGCGATAGACCGATGTCCGATCCGGTTTCAATTTGTATTCAATTCATTCATCCCCGATCATGTCTCGGGTTTTCAATTTGTGTTGTAATAAACACCCGACGAGTTGCGGGTTTTTACTTTCTCGCACTTAGAATTAGCTCGTCTTTTCAATACTTTGAGTGTTTACTTTACGTAATGCCTTTTAATACAATCGTTTCTTTCTTTCTTTTCTAGACTAAGATAGGATTAGTTTAGAATCTTAAATGAAAACACAAAAAACAAGATGCATGATCACATTGTGGACTAAAACTTTGACATGAAAATGGTAAAGAACAAATGCATGACAATTTAGATAACAACCATGTTAAGTTTAGCGGTACCGAAAGGGCGTTAATAGAAATATTAACGTAAGCTAGTCCCCGAACCTTTGATCTCTGGTTTTCGTAGAAACCAATACGAAATTCCCACGTATTGGTTAGGTATTCTAGCCGACCTCCGACCTAGGCTAGTGGCGACTCCTAAAAAATATAAAATTAATCCGCTGTCACGCGAGGTATGAATTAGGGAAGATTCACGTTCATGAATAATGGACTGTACGGATGAACCATCTTTTATGATGTACCGTATGGACCGTTTCATGAACACTTACCTCTAAACCCGCTTCACCGAGTTCGGCCCTCGTGAGGTAGGTTGCGACAATGGAAATGGGTTAAAACAGGTTAAATGTGTTAGTTTAGGTTGGACCATTTGTGACCCGACGGACCTGATCCCATTCGTTTGATAGATCTAGTAAGGCATAATGCTAAACTCGATTGAATCACTCAAATATGTGATGAGATTGTATGCCTTTGGTGAAGTAGAGAGTCATACCTATGAAGTATATATAATTATGTGTTCTGGCCAAACTCAATTGGGCGTGAATGCTAACCATTCTATTTTAGGAATAGATTTCTAGCTAGAAATAGATTCTATTTCTATCCCTGGATGAATTTCTGAATAGAGATATTCGTTTGATAACGACACAAAATTTATGCCTTTTATGCTCTTTTCCATTCATTGATGGGCAGTGGCCGGCGGCGGCGGTCCAAAGGCGGGCGACGGCGGGTGGCGGTGGTCGACAGGAGGCCATCAGGGAGTGGCGGCGACAGTCGGTGGGAGGCGATCACAAGCAATGAGAAGAATTTTTATTTCTTTTTTTGTTCTAGAAATAGAAAAGTAGAAAGTTTTTACTTCTCATTTCTGCTCCAAACCTATTTCTGAACTAAAAATTTGTTCCAGAAATAGAAAAATAAAATTGCGTTACCAAACGGATTTCTGTTTCAAATTTGTTCCTGGAACAGAAAAATAGAAAAATAAAGAAACAAAATGGTTATCATGTGCGTCCTTAATTCACCACACGCTTTCTTTGCATAGCATTGCAACAACCCCTTTAGGATGGATAATCATAATACATCTCCAAATTCACTAGAAAGGTTATATAAGAACTAATGGTTGGATATTGGATTATTCTTAAAGTTGGTAATTCCCATTTTAGTTTCCTAATCATGTCATATGAACTTTAGATCTAAGTACGATACATTATGTTTAATAATTTCATCACATTCTTGAAACCCATAGATGACATATTTGCTAAATGGGTCAAATGATCCGATTAATTTGACATGTTCAAGATACAATCTCGTAAGTAAACATGTGAATTAAACGTATTGTAACTTGAATAAAGGTATTCAAATGTGTCATGTCGATATGAGCAACATGTTAACCTATTTAATTAAACATGTCTCTTTGACCAAAAAAAAAATAATTAAACATGTCTCAACGTGCAATAAATGGGTTGCAAGGATCAACTTGCGGATGACATATTTATTGTTCATGTATAAACGAAATGACTTGCTTATGAGAAGAACATGATTAAGCTCAAACAAAACATGCTTAACTACGTGTCATGTACATATTGTGTTAATCCTAATTCCAAATGAATCAAATAAAAGGCATCAAAGATTAGTGGGGGTAATTATTCAATCAGTTCTAAACATATTTTATAGATACTAATTCAGTTATAAACTTATTAGTTTTGCCAATTTTTTAGTCCAAACCTTTGCGCGAAAATGCAAGTAGTCCTTTTGGCCAATTTTCATCGGAAATTACTGACGTGGCGGTGTGCCGCGTAGGATGGCTGGTGATGACTAGACCACCACATTAGTGATTTTCGATGAAAATTGATTGAAAAGACTACATTGGAATTTTGCAGAAATGTTTCGGATTATATTAGCAAAATTAAAATGTTTAGGATTGAATTGACATCCGTACAATACGTTTAGGACTGATTGGGTAATTTTCTAAGATTAATGTATTGAGAAAAATGTCAAGATCTTGGGTGTTCCTATCTCAACACACTATTTTAGATTTTGGGTGTTCCGCCAGCCAAGTTGGACGGAGTTAACGGAAGGACTCGATTGCACCAATTTGATCAATTTTAGGACTTGATTGCACTTTTTGCAAGTTTTATGACTTAATTGCATTTTCGTGACAAGTTTTTAGCACTTCCAATGAACATATCCCAAAAATATTTTTATCAATTGTCGGATGTTATACTTGATGGGTGTGAGGGTGAAGAACGTAATATTGAGCATCAATCAACAAGTAATTTGAGTTTTAAAAAGTATGGTCGAAATGTTAAACTTCTGTTGTGTAAATCTTCTTCATTTGTTCAAATCTAGTCCTCTAACTTTAGTATTTTGTAACTGAGTCCTCAAATATTTTCATTTTTTAGAAAATATTTTTTAAATCATTCATTTTTCGCGAAACAAACGGGGCCTAATTATCTAACACTTGATTTTTTCCATGTAAGTCCTTTCTCCAATCATCATTCACACTTATTTATGTTGATATGTTTGTTCAATATGGCTGTTTACAATACAGCCAAACGAAAGCGAGAAAAGTACTTTCAAATTCTAGAACTGAGTCTAATTAAGGGAAAAAAAACGGCAAAAGTATTATATTTTCTTAAACGTGTGCTTACAATTTCTGAATTGAATTTGGGCCTAATGATATGCTATTTTTCACCATGAGACTAAATATAATAATTTTAAAAATATGTTTCTCCCTTTTGTTTCAATATATGCACATCAAACGGCCAAGTTAATGTATTTATTTGTGACAAGTGATAACTAAAGAAGACTTTCATTGGAAAAAGAAAAAAATGACACAAACAGTTACTGAACTTTGGCCCAATGTGCAATGTGGTCCTTGAACTTTAACCCAATGTGCAATGTAGTCTCTAGAATTTTAATTTGTTGAAGGTCATCCATGAACTTTTGATACATGTTCAATTTAGTCCTTGAACTATATAAAAATATTTAATGTAGTCCTTCCATTAATTCAAGTTCAGAGACTACGTTGAACATTTCCATATAGTTTAGGGACTACATTGAACATGTATCAAAATTCCAAGAACCACATTGAACAAATTAAAAGTTCAAGAACTACATTGAACAAATTAAAAGTTCAGGGACCATATTGCACATTGGGCCAAATTTTAGCAACTGTTCGTGTCATTATCCCTTAGAAAAATAGAGTCAAGGACTTGATTTGCACCAAATAAGTTTGAGGGCCCAATCGTAAAAGCCGCATAAATTACACGACTGTATCGGGACCTATCTCATTATGTTTTTGATGATTTCTTAATTTTGACCAGTTTAATGTTTATGAGACGAACATGATTAAGTTAAAAGACACATGCTTAACTACGTGTCATGTTCATGTTGTATAAATGGATTGTGTAAAAAATTGTTAGTCCTCATTCCAAATGAATAAAATAAAAGGCATAAAAGATTAGTGAATTGAGAAAAATGTCAAGATCTTGGGTTGTTCCTATTTCAACGGTTTGTTTTATACAATTTTGCTTTTGTAGACTCGATTTGACATCATCAGCGACATTTTTAATGAAACATGTATGATGTATTTTGCTAACTACGTGTCATGTTCATGTTGTATAAATGGATTGTGTAAAAAATTGTTAGTCCTCATTCCAAATGAATAAAATAAAAGGCATAAAAGATTAGTGAATTGAGAAAAATGTCAAGATCTTGGGTTGTTCCTATTTCAACGGTTTGTTTTATACAATTTTGCTTTGGTAGACTCGATTTGACATCATCAGCGACATTATTAATGAAACATGTATGATGTATTTTGCTTTTGTCTCGGTTTTAAACAATCTAGTCAATTTTGTTAATAATGAACATGTATGACAAGATCTATCGATAATTTCCAAGTTTAGAAAATAAAACAAGGAACTTTTCAAAATTTCTAAAATATTGATGACCGTACGAACTCCAATAACCAACTTCGAATATTTTCGTATAATGGTAATTGAAATAGTTTGAGATTATAAATTGATAATATAAATCTTGTCAAGAAAAGATGGAAGGCCTTACAAACAAAAGGCAATATTAGTTATAGTAGCAGTCAGATTTGGATCCCAAACTAAAATACTTAATGAGTGATATTAAATTTATTTTAATCATTGTCGGATGAAAATTGAAAGGGTCAACTAGCAAATTATAACTTAAAGTTCAAAGCAAACACGCTTTGTAATGTGTCATGTGCGTGTCGTAGAAACGGGTCGTGCAAAAATTTGTCAAGTCCTAATCTTAAATGAATCAAAGAAAAGGCATCAATTCAGATACTCGAATCGAGTGAAATATTAACATCTTGGATTTTTCCTATTTCAACGGAATTTTTTGAAAAATTTTGCTTTGATGAACTCGAAGTGAGGTCATTGGTGACAGAGCTAGAAATCTCAAGATTGTGGGATGCACGTATGAACAAAAAGGTATCCATGGCCTTACGCATTTTAATAATCAATCGAACTTCTAAATTTTTCGTATAAACGGTAATTTAACGTTTTTAGATGACAATGGACAATGTAGTTCTCGTCAAAGAAAAGATGGAAGGTCTAAAAACAAGAGGAAATGCAAGTCAGTCAATGCTCTCTATTTTTGTATCTATTGACATAGAATATACAGTACAGCCTATATCTCTTACGTATCAACATTTCTGGTATAACATATAACACCTAAGCAAGAACGCAAAGGAGAAGATAATTCATCTGCATATATGGCTCCAAGGACGATGGCGAGAGTGATGAAGATGACTATAATCCATCTCAGCATCGTCTAAAAGAAGACATCCAAACGTATCGTCTGCACTGAGCCTGCACTGTTCTTTCACCATCAAACCGCCATTCTTGACCGCCTTCTTCTTCCCCTCCACCATCGCCAGAACACTTTGGAACACCGAAATGTCGCATGGGATTCTCAGGACACCCGTCTGCTGAAACCCGAACACCTCCTTGGCCTCTCGCAGCAAGAGCACAAACGCCTGGTGGCCCAAGTAGTGCACCGGGATGACGAACCTCTCGAGCTCTTTGCCAACGCAGACCGCGAGGTGGCCTTTCGGGACGACGTTGCTGTTGCTGCTGCTGTGCTTCTTGTTGTTGTTGCTGTTGTCGCTGTCTGATGATAGAGAAGAGATCGTTCTTTTGAGGAAGCTGATGCTCTGGGGAATGCTGCCGCGATTTGGGCTCATGGTGGCGGCGGTTGTGACAATTCTCGACATGCACTTCCTGAGGAGCCGCCGCAGTCGAATCACTTTGCTGATCTTGTTGGGCTTTTTAGGGGACTCCATGGCGTCCACAAGAAGAAGAAGAAAGAAAGAGAAGAAGTTGTATAAGAAGAGAGGTTGCAATATGCCCTAATCTAAGAAACTGGGCTCTTGCAATTTATAGGAGTTGTGAGTCGTGAGATACTAAGCAACCCAATTCTATTTTGTGACCAGCTCGTGAAAGATTTAGTTTTGGAATATGCTCCAAAACGAATAGCACGTGCCCCTATGAATGTTACTTTTTCAAATCAACATCAACTATCGAAAATCGAATTCAAATTCACTATTTGTCATATGCTTTGAGAAAGCGTGTGAAAACCAAACTTAATATGTTATATCTTTGATAATTATCTAATAAAATTTATAAATAATCTCATGTTTACGCGGCTGTTGTGCGTTGTGGTGGCTGCTGCGCAAGCCACATGGACCGACATAAATTATGAGTCCTAATCATTGCTTGGCGGGTGATGGTGTCATTTTCACACCCTGTTCTAAAGTGTAATTGCATTTTCTCTCTCCATTCGTTCCTTTATAAGAAGAAGGACACTTTCACTTTTTTTGGCTCTCCTTCACTTTTTCTTCCTTTCCATTTCCATCTTCATTATAGGGGAATATAACAACTCAATTTTTTGTTTAGTACGTCGCGTCGCAAATCGAGATATTAGACTGACTAAATTTATCTATTACGATGATCCTGCATGCGTGGTTTCTGATGCCGATGGGGCTTCGAACGGTCAAGGACCTCGTACCATTCGACTGTACTATTCAAACTCCTCCCTCCAATATTCATTAATTGTAATATAATTAAGATTGGGATTAGATGCAGTTGTCTTGGTTGTGGTAAATGAACTGTAAAGACATTGACCTAATAAATTAATGTGACTTATTTGCTGAACTTAGATGATAACCTCTTGCAAGAATAAGATAATCCAAGCATTGACGTTGTTGCCACTACTGTGCAAAGCATAAATAAATGGGCAAAATTAACAAAAAAGTCATAAATCTATTGTAATTATGCCAATTTTGTTCATCCAGCTAATTTTTGCGGATCGTCCCCACCGAAGTCTTGAAATCAGTTGCAAAGTCCAGCTCTCAACATCGACTCCGGCTAATTTTTGGCTGGAGATCTTGCGATGTATTTATCGCGCAACTAATTTACTCTCTTTAGGAGGGATAATTCATCGAACAATGCGAAAAATCACATATCGCCCGTTTAGATTTTGGCACTTTGTGGCAAGTTGCCTCCTCACTATTCAATTTTTGCAGATGAATTGACTCTTCTAGAATGGAGAGGATCAGAAAGCCCCATCTCCAAGAAATAAAGTTCTCAAAGATACCCTGATTTATGCAACTTAAAAATTGCTTTAAGTTATGCAAATCACGTCAACTTTCGTGTAAAGTCCTCAGGGATGCCGTCCTTTTCTCATCCAGGGATTCGATAGCGATGGTTAAGAAAAAGTTCTCTTTTCTCAGTTGGTCTTCTTGCGATGCGCAATGCGCATGCCATTGTCCTGGTTGACCAAATTAGAGCAGATTGGCTAGCGAAAGCTCACCGCAGGAAGGTCCTACCACCTGACTGGATGTCTAATCCGGCTCTATCTTTATGGAAACTTTTATGTTGAGAAAATCAAAGCCTTTGTTATCCTTTTAATGTTTGATGAATGAAGTTGTTTTTCCCGACCAAAAATAAAAAAAATTAGATGTTGACACTAGCAGGGATTCGGCTAAAGGAAAATAGAATCAATAGTGTGTTTAATTGCATATTGTAATCTTCATGACATATTTTCGCCTGCAGATAGAGCATATAATTATCAACCCCGAGAGATTAATTGCGTTGGCACTTATGCTAGCGATCGACTATGCAAATCTCGAAATGCAATCAAGTCACGGAGAAGGGATCCCTCGAAACAAAAAAAATGGACTTAATCATTTCTTTTGAGCGAAAACTTGTACGAAATACCACCCGATAGCTATGCGAGGGGATGAGAAGCTGCATTTACATGTAGGTTTCAATGAGCAGCATTTTGTGTCCTCCAACCAATGGGTCAAAATGTTACACACCGTAATATCTTGAATTCGACCCACTTTTGTGATCAATGAAATGGATGGTTATTTCTCATTTCGTTTTAGTAAGTCTCGCCCGGAACTGATCATTATCGGGATACTGACCAATATGGAATGGCTAACTAGGAAAACAGTACATGGACCCAAGAACTCGACCGTGAATCGAGGCCCGATTCTGAGAAACGACGAGGGAATATTTTGTGCCAATGTGGGCCAGTCTAAGGAGGGTGACGGATTTGGTTTGGCCAACGACGTACGATCGAAACGTGGATGATTCCGCACGACCGAGAGTACGCGTGGCGAACAATCCCGAACTTATTCTGAACGATCGCGACCTCCGAAACTAGTGATAAATCCTTTTGTTCTCTTGGAAATTGAGACCGTTACGACTCGAGTAACCCTAGGTCGATACGCGTAACCCCTAAACAGCCGCCCGTTAGTGAGAGACGCTAAAATCGCATTTGAGCGAAATTGATCGTGGAATTGAGTCCGGACTTGGATGTCGGATTTCACGGACATAAGCGACTATTTTGCAAGGACGGTGTCGTATTAGTATGGCCAATTATATTTGGGATTGGTATAGTCGAAAAATGGAATTTCGGACCGGAAGTGGAAAATTACCGATTTGCCCCTAGGCCCTAGGTGTTAATTCCGAATTTTGGGGTTTAGATTAGTCTTGATCAGCCTCTATTAGTGTCGAAATCCTAGGACTAAATTACCCCTAGATATTTTGGCTTGAACCAATCCTAACCCTTGAAGCTTGGGCAAGATGGACATTTTTGGGTTGGGTAGTTCAACCACCCCACTCACCCAATCTCTCTAAAACTCCCTCTCAATCTCTCTCTCCTCTCACTCTCACCATCTTCCTCCGGCCACTCCTCCCCCTCTCGCCACTCTCTCCATTTCCTTCCTTCTCGGCCGCGCGAAAGAGACGCCGGAGCAGCCCGTCGCCGCTGGCCGGTGCCGCACGCCGCTCGCCACCGCCCGTCTGCCACAATCTCGCCTCATCACCACCCCCATTCGACCGACTCTCTCTCTCTCTCTCTCACTCTTCCTTATTAGTTCGGCACCATCACCATCACTGTCGCCCCCTCGCCGTGTGAGCCAGCCGAGAGCCGCCCACCGTTCGCCGCCGTGAGGACCGCCGCTGAACCGGCTTGAGCCAACCACCGTCCAGCCCATTCCTCCTCCTTGTTTAGCCACATTTGGAGCTCAAAACCTAGTGAGTGGAAATCCTAACCCTTAATTAGGCTTATGTGCACTTTAGACAAGTTTTAGGGGTTAATTAGGGTGTTTTAGGGGTTAAGTGTTGGCTGGTGATTAGGCTGACTAATGTGATGATTTTAGTGGCCTAACGAGTTGATTTGAAGGTGATTAAGAGGCCTAGTCAAGCCTGGTTGTTGGCTGGTTAATGTGCTATTGATTGAACTCGGTGTGGCTATTTTACGGTCTAAATGTGGATTAAAATGGGTGTAATATGCGGGCTGAGTAGTGGCTGATTTGTGGTGATTTAATGGCCTAATGTGATGATTTGGAGGTGGATTAGTAGCTTAGAGTGGACTGTTTAAGGGCTGATCATGATGGGCCGAATTGGGCTATGTGCGATTAATTTGTGATTTAATTGTGAATCGCCGAGTGTGCCTTGATTTGCTTATGTGGTGACCGAATTATGCATGAATCGAGATCAATTATGAGATGCCATGTTGTGTGCTTGATGTGACCGAGAATCGAGATGCTTGGCGGGTCATGAATGTGCATATCGAGCATTGGCATAACATGGGCATTATGCGAGTGTGCACGAATGGCATGAGCATGTGATCACCTAAATCGCCCTAATGCATTTATGCGGGTTCAGATAATAATTGGTGGATGTGTACGTGTGATCACATAAAGCCCTGATGCGTTTTACGCGGGGTATTGAACCCGTCCTGATGTGTTTTACGCGGGACGATGCCCGGACTACCGGAAGATGGCCAACCTAATGTGTTTTACGCGGGTTGTGTCATGAGCCTGATGCGTTTTACGCGGGCCGGAGATCGATCGAAAAGTGATAGACCTGATGCGTTTAACGCGGGTCGGTGTTAATTGGAAAGTTGGCACGCGTGCAAGTGTGCAGAAATGAGCTTGAGCATTTGCATAGTGATGGCATGTGTGCAAGAGTGCATTAACGAGCGCAAGCATGTGCATGGCATGTGTCCGTGGCCAAGTGATTGCGTGTGTGTGCCATGATGGGATTCTGCCTTATTATTGCCATTGTTATGTGCCTAACCTGTAGGGTCACTAAAATGCTTGATTTGGGCCCGAGGGCCTAAATCCTTTGTGTACCGTGCTATCGTTGTTTAATGCTTGTCAGGAGGTGCATGTTAGCCTAGTTTAAGTTTAGGGGGCCTACTCGCTGAGATTTATTCTCACTGTTGTTTAAACCCAACTTTTCAGACCCCCGACCTTGAGATGGCAGGTGTGCCGATTCGTTTTGGCATCCCGCACCGCATAGAGCGGTCGGTGATCGAGTACCCCGAAGGGAACGGGGAGACTTACATTAGACATTTTACCACAGTTTGGGTCGATGTGGGTGGGCCGCAGTTCCAGGCTCATCAGTATCTGGGTTGGTGCTTTCGGGACCCGTTCGAGGTTTATGGACCCCTTAGGACCTTGATGTCCCGATCGTCGGGGTTAGCCAATGGGACCCACAGGATATTGATGGGGAGGTAACCAGCCCTGAGGCCGTGTCCGAGGACGATTCTGATCCCCGGCTTATCATTTTCGAGATGGATTTCGACCTGGAGGAGGAGCCGATGGAGTGGGAGTCCGATCCCGAGCCGGAGCCGATAGAGCTGGAGTCGGAGCCGGAGGGCGATTCCGAGGAGGAGCCAGTGGGGGACGAGTCCGAGCCGGATTCGATAGATTCCGAGTCCGAGTCGTCTGACGATTCGTCCGAGACCTTGGGATCCGACTCGGACTGGTTGCCCTAGGGTTTAGCCTTGACCTTAGTTAGATAAGG